AACCATACAGGCTATGGCAAGAAGCCTTTTCAAAAGCCTGAAAGAGCAAGCAGGAGATGAGTGCGACCAAAACTTCACAGCAAATCATGGGTGGTTCCAAAGGTTTAAGAACCGTTACAGTTTGCACAGTGTAAAGGTGAGTGGAGAGGCAGCAAGTGCTGATGTGGGTGCTGTAGAAGCTTTTAAGGAGGAGCTAGAACGTGTCATCATGGAGGGAAATTATTTGCCTGAGCAAATATTTAATGTGGATGAGACCGGCTTATCGTGGAAGCGCATGCCAGAACGGACACACATCCACAAAGAGGAGAAAACCATGCCGGGATTCAAGGCATTCAAGGACCAAATCACACTTCTGATGGGGGGGGAATGTAGCTTTTAAAAATGTCAGCAAGCACACACTGCCAGTGTTTTATTGCAGTAATAAGAAAGCAAGGATGACCCTAGCACTGTTTGAGGATTGGTTCCCGAGTGTTTCATTCCACGAGCCAAGGAGTATTGTCTGCAACAATGGGTTGCGTTAAGATTTTATTAATTTTAGATAATGCTCCGGGACACCCACCACACCTGGACGACCTGCACCCTGATGTTAGGGTAGTCTACATTCCACCTAACACTACTTCTATCATCCAACCCATGGATCAAGGTGCTATTGCTGTTTTTAAAGGGTATTATTTACGTATGACCTTCGCTCAGGCTGTTGCTGCTACTGAGGGTGAGAAAACGCTCTGAGAGTTTGGGAAGGACTACAACATTTTGAAACGTATAAAGAACATAGCTGCAGCATGGGATGAGGTTACAGGTCAGTGCATGAATGGAATATGGAAGAAAGTCCTGAAAAGATATGTGAACAGTTTCAGAGGATTTAATGAAGATGAAGTAATTTCTGAGATGAGTAACAGGATAGTGGAGTTGAGTAAACAGCTTGAGTTAGAAATTGATAATGAAGATGTTGAGCAGTTGGTTGAAAGTGTAGCAGAAGAGCTAAGTAACGAGGATCTTATTGAACTGGTAGCACAGAAAAAAGCAGAGGAAGAAGAGAGACAAAATGTAGAAGAACCTGCACCCCCCCAAAAAATTTTCAGTGAAACAAATGGCAGAGGCATTTGCTACTATTAATAAGGGGATGCAAATGTTTGACAAAATGGATCAAAATGTTGAGCGTTTTGCAAAATTTGACAATGATCCAAGGGGGAGATTTACAATGAAAAGAAAAGGCAAACTGTGCAGTCTAAATTGGATATACGGTATATTTTAAGACGTCCCCCCATTGTTGTCTCCTCATGCCCCACCACTGCTGCCTCTTCACTCCCTAAAGATGATCCAATACCTTCAACAAGCAAGTATGTTAACCTGTCTGAAGAAAGCGAAATTGATGACCCGCCCAGCCCTGTCTCCTCCTCTGCTTCATCCAATTAATGTTCCGGTAGTCTCCATGTTCAATTAAAAAATTATTGAGGCCCTGTGTGCATTCAGCTGACTACATTAAAGGTAAGTTCACAGTAACACTTTATTAATTTTTCATTATTGATTACTTTTACTGTACCGTATTTCATTTTAGATTTTCTATGCATTAGTTTTGCATTTTTGACTTACGACCTGGTCGTCGGTCCCTAACCCCGTCGTAAGTCGGGGACTGACTGTATTGTGTGACACTATCTCCTTCTACCACATGCATCAACCATCGCCACTATGTCCAAGAGGCCAGCCACTACATCATTAACTACCCCAAAGGCCATGAAATAAAGGCAAGCAATTACACTGGAGCAGAAAATCAAGGTGCTGGAAGCACTGCAGCTTGGAAATGGTGCTTCAAGTGTGGGGCACCAATTTGGACAGTGATGTGGATGATGAGCTGGTCGAGTTGGGCTCTGCATCTTCAGAGGATGAATTGTCGAAGTAAAGTTGAGTGAAAATCTATTTTTGATAGCATAAGGTAATTAAAAAATAAGTTGAGAGGAAAGTGAGTGCTTGGTGAGTCAGACGAGAGGTGGGCGGTGTGCGGCGCCAGTGCAACTACCCTCTCACATCATCTGATAGCTAGTAAACAGACCATTTTGCGTCCCTTAATTTTAGCTGCGTTGATTTATGAGTGTGTTTTAGCATAATAATACAAAAAACAATGTTTTGTTTATTCTAGGAGATGGGCTGAGGTGCATCTGGGTAGACTCTCAGTCTTTTTAGTATTCTGTGTTTCTCTCAAGTACCAAACTAAATTCTTCTATTGAAACAACACTTTGATTTAGTGCGAATCTGGTTTAAAGCAACCTATTCTTGGAACGTATCTCGTGCTATATCGACGTTTTACTGTACATTATTTTATTTACCCGATGACTTATTTTTTACTTTCATTTACTGTATTTTGTCATTCTATTTCTTTTGTCTTAAAATTAAAAGATTTTAGATGTATAATAGGACTTAGGCTATGATGTAATGGGATTTTAAACATTGTTTTGTAAGTACGGTATGCACATAGCATGTGTTCCGACTTCAGAACCCGTTTGTAACCAGGGGACCCCTTGTATAGCATGCATACACAGAGGAGCAGCTCTTTCTGATAGCTCCTTCTCCATATACCATGTATGTTACTCCGTGTCTCACACCGTCATATTAAGTGAATTTAACTCAGTTGAACTTTGATGACTATATCAGTGTTCCTGTTTTAACATAATCGAACATCTTATCATGTGTCAAATGATTATGCTCTATTCATTTCCTTGCCCCAGACATGTTTTGTGAAGTTTGTAATTTGACTTCCTATCGTAATTCTGATAGCTCCTCCATATACCAGGCACTGTATGTGTTGTTGGGGCTGCCGAGAGTCAGTGGCCAGTTGCAGACAGGATGCATTTAGTAAACTGGGATTAAGATCTGAGTGGGTGCATGGACCGAACCTGCTCTGCTCCACAAAGTGTGAGCCCGGAGGCGGTTCCACTGAGTGTGAAAGCACGGCATTGTCTAGAATCCAAGTTGGCGTAACCCCTGTGGTAACTCATCCTGTATATATCAGTAATTGTTCCATCTCAGGTATTCTATTCCCACCTCGTAAATGAATACTGATGTGTCTTGTGTGTGCCAGGTGTTGTAAGGCGTAAAGGTGTTTTTTTTTTTTTTACGGGGATTAGCCCACCCGGGCACAGGTGACTGACCCGCATCGGGGCCTGGGGGGCGAAAATGTAATACTAATAATAAAATACTACTAATAATAAAGAACCATAAAGAAATAAAAAAATAAAAAAAGATCAAAAGTGAGAAACAGTATTGTATATGTTGTGTTGTCAATCGTAAGAGAAACAATTGAGACCCTGCAATTGTGTGTAAATGAGGCAGAAAGTCAGATTAGCAACCTGGGACTTGGTCACAATTTTCGTGATGCCATATGACAGCAGGGTCTACCATTAGACAACACATTATGCTTCCAATATATTCCCGGGCGGTAGTACCTCCCTGTTTGGTAGCTGCCTACTACACAAAGTGGTGAGAGATAATGCCATATCACTAAGACTCAAGGAGTTGTGATACCTGTGTGTGGGTCAAGGCAACTTGTATCCCCAGTATTGAGAGTAATAATAAGTAAGGTACATGAATAAAAATCTTGTGACTTTTTTTTTTTTTTTAGTACAGTATAAGTAGTAATGAAGTGAAGTGTTGAAGACTGATTTTTTATGTGTCACTGTGGTAGAATATTATCAATAACCTGTAGTAGTTTCTACTGAACATTTTCCTGTTAAATTTCAAGACTTGTTTTCGCTAACCTTGAAGAAATGCCATGTGGTCCTTGTAAATCGTATCAGTGTTAACATAAATTTAGACAAGTCTTGAGTGAACCCCAAGGAGTGGTTTTTGTGTGTTGTACTCTGTGAACGTTTTCCTATACACAACTTCATTCAATAAATAGTGATTAAGTATAATGTGCGTATCACTGCTCATTCCTTCTAATAATTGCCATCCCTGAAAATTAACTTTATAACTCAAATGCCTAACCTCTCGTACTACACAGTATCACGCTTCCACTTTAATTGAGAGGAATTAGTGTTTGTGTTATGTTATGATATGATATAAAAGTCTGGTTGGTGGTTATACTGTATTGATAATTAAAGAATTACTAGACAAGAATGTAGTTCTCCCAGATTAACCCACAGAACAGAGTATAACTAAATAAGATGTAATTTGGAAATAAATAAGTGGAAAGAAATACTGTACAGTACAGTATAGTCAAAGTGGTAACCCCAGACATTAAGATGCTCCCTCTTGCAGTGGCCTCTGGTAATGTGATTTTTAAAGTGTTTTATTTTATTTATTTATTTATTTATTTTATTTTTAACTTATTAAAATTCTTATTTTATTTATTTTATATCATAGTTTTAACGTATGATTTCCTCATTGCCAGAGGTCACTATAAAAAATTAGTGTAGGTTACGTGCGGCTGTCTACGATTAGAGTACATTCTATTACTGTACTATACTTGTGGGCAGAACACAATTTTCACCAGAGAACAGACAACTACTGAAAAGAAGGCTGGCATTTACCTAAGTCCTCCCAGAAGTTCCGAGAGCACCTCCCTCCATGGTTATGAAACCCGCTGTGGGGAGGAAGCCATCCAAGAGCTGAATAGTATGTTTTTTTAATTGGTAATTTTCGAGTGTATTGTTCAAATCTGCTATTGCTTAAGTTTGACAGTGCCTCTATAGATAATTTGGTTAATATCATGTGTGAATATCTTTCATACAGTATATCATCTGTTCATCTACTTTTCTCATTAAAAAAATATATACCGGGTATATATTGATCAAAACCTTCATAAAATCTTCCACCAAAATAAGTGTTTGAAACTTTGAACAGTCATTATTCAGCACAAATAGTATTAAAACAAAATGCGGTCTCAAGAACCACCAAATAAAACTATGATTAGAATATAAAAAAAAAAGTTATTCTAACATCCACTTTAAAATTTTATCTAGTCTAACACCAACAGCTGTGTCACTCACCTATTACAAGTACAGATGAGGTCAGTGCAGTGTGAGTGTTCCTGTGAGCGCCTGCACTGAGCGTGGCTCCAACAAGGCTGTCCCACCTGCCGCGCCCCCTCCCCAAGTTGCATGATGCACCACTGCTACAGCCCTACACTCTTATTGAGTCTGGCAGAGTTGGGCTACAGTTTTTTGTCCTAATTAGGGAGAGTCTTAACTGGGTATGGACCGTATGGACCACCTGTATCATTAACTCCTATGAACTTGTTAGGAGGTTATTCTTTGATCAAGAGCCATTCTCTATGATTCTCGAATTATGATGCCTTAAAATTCCAAAGATCTTCAACTTAAGAAGTGTTGGATCAGGGATCCGGACTTCTAGATCTGGACTGAGATACTACTGACTAAAATGTGCTCTTCCTTGGGATGAAATTTGAATTTCCCCTTGTTGAAAAGTTATTTTACTTTCACTTATTAAAAAAACATCTGGGTTTCTAAACTCAGCAAGAATTAAGTGATGAATCATAAACATTAAGCATTTATGTGTGTGAAGGTATGAGGAATCTGAGTGTAGCACCCATGGGAAGGGCCCAACATGGAGGGGTCTAGAGGTACTGTTGTCCCTGGGCACAGAAAGCCAAGGGGCAGTTGTTTGATGAGTGCTGGGGTCCGAAGTAGGTATGTTTGGGCTCTGTGGCTGCCGATGAAAGACGAGCGTTATACTTTTTTAATTCCAGGGTTAAGTTGTTAATATATTCAGGCTAAGAAGTTGGCAACTTAGGGATATTCTGTTATCACCATGGGGTTAGGCTTTTGACATCCAAGGGCTAAACCGTTTACACCTAGAACTATGCAGTTAACACCATGGGACTAGACTTTTGGCATGCTAGGCTGGGTTGTTGATACTTTGGATAAGCTTTTGATATCCTAAGGGTAGGCTACTGAAGCTCTGGGGTTACACATTTCATATCCGGGTACTGGCCTTTTCACGCTGGTGGTATGTCTCTAATACATTGGGGATGCACCGTCTACAGCAAGACAGTAGAACTTTGGCACCCAGAGTCGAAAATGTGTTTTACTGGAGTCTTGATATCGATTCTCACACACAACATGCTGCCCGTCACTCATCTGAAAATAAACTGTATGCTCCTGTACAAAGAGTGGATATGTATAATTATTTTAATTTGTGATACATGTGGATATGTACAAATTTAAGTTATAAGATGTCTTCAGTAGTAGGGAATGTTTAGGAAACTTTTCGAAAGCAGTTTCTTAGATACCTAACCTTTTTTTTATTCTTCTGTGTCTATCACTGATATTTACACCTTACACAGGATAGCACCTATAGACAGTAGCTACTATATGCCTGACAGGCTGACACTGTTCACAGATGCATTTATTCTTTGAGCCATTTTCAGATGTCAAACTAAGTTAGTGCTAAATGGCAAAAATATCTGTGTGAACTGGAGTGTAGTGTAGTGTAGTGTACACTCCCCAAAAAGTATCGGCCCCCCTGGGCCTGGTGTATTTGGTAATGAACATAGTTCAGTTGGTATTTCTGATTGTGAGTTGCACCTTTCGTTCTTTCTTCTTGTACCTGATACTCACCATGATAGTATCTGCAATAATCACCTATTCTCTACATAATGTAATGGGATAGGATGAATTGTGATACCATATGCAAAACCAATACCATCATAAGTAACCCTGTTGATTTATGCACCGTAGATACTACTGTATTTCAGCCCCAGTGGATGGGTTACCAAACAGGAATACATTACAGTATAACATTACTATGTTTTCATGAACCGAGTTTACAATGGAATCACTTCAAACGAAAAATGAAACACTATGATCCGATATTACATTAATTTGCAAATAGAGTAATTATAGGTGTATTATGATGCCATATCGAATTACAATGACATGATTTACTGCATTTTGATATTATTTCTACCTCAATTGATGAGACAACAATTATGAATATAACGTATCATCTCATGTTTCGTGCCGGTAATGAAAGAATTTGATACTACGAGACGATGTCATCAAGTCCTCCCATGGGATTGACAATCACTTGGACACTTTTTTAAACATTTAGGTTACTTATTATTATCCCGAAAGCACCATCTGAGCCGTAATTAATATTTTTTTAAACCAAGTATACGTGATTTGGTTTGGGTTACTATTTAATAATCTGAATTGTTATCGGAACATTTCAGGATAAGTCTTCGTGTGTGGGTAGGCACCCAAAGACTTATCCAGAAAGGCCCAACTACTGTAATTATATATGAATAGATAAAGTCTCTGAAATACAATAAATGTAAATTAAATTGAGAAAATAAAAAAAAACTAATATTTGAATGTCCTAATAATCGGTTCTGACAGAAATGGATATATATTTAAGACACTGACATGTACCCTCTTGATGTTTATCTTCAACTCCGAAGATTTTTCATCATTTTTCATCTCCCCATCACACTTCTCACAAATTTTCTAGTACAGCTCCTCCCCGACTTACGACGGGGTTAGGGACCCAAATCCAGGTCGTAAGTCGAAAATGCTTAAATAATACATAGAAAATCTAAAATGGGTTTCTCACCACCACAAAACTCTCACTTTTAAGCTTGCCAGCCATTTTAAAGTGAATTACAAACGAAAATTTTGTCAGTACATAGCGCAATCACTGACGTTGGGACTCAAAAATACGTAATTTGACAAAATTTTGGTTCGACTGAGGCGGTCGTATGTCCGGGTGATCGTAAGTTGGGTAGGTCGTAAGTCGGGGAGGAGCTGTATTGCATTCCTGCAAACATCCTCTCATAACCTCAAGTACAATAAAGAACACACTTTTTTGTGATGATAGATGTAACGTAATTTCCAGTTTGCCAAAATATTATACAGGAAATATCCAGGATGATACAAAATGTGTTTGGTAGATTATTCAGGTAACAGTTTACAACAAGTGTCACCTGTGAGACCAACACTGATAATTACCCTGGAAAAATATTATCCATGCTATATTTCACTGTTTAGGTTGTTGTTTTGGTGGTGCTTACAGTAGGTACTAACAGTGTTTGTAAGGTTAGATTAGATTAGGTTAGGTTACAAAAAATAATTTTTGGAGGAAATGTTCAAACCTAACCTATAATCAGGGTTGGAAAAAAGGGTCATAACTGATTAATGGTAGGACACTATTGTACAGTATAGTCTCGGTTTACGCGATCAATTAAACCCGTGGAGGTTTGCGTAAAACGAGAAACGCGTAAACGAAATAACAGAACATATGGGATTAATTGAAATAGAGACTGGGCCAACCCCCAGACTAACCTTTTTCCGACACAATACGTACGTTGTAGTAAAAATAACATCTTAATTTTATGATGGAATGCACACACAATTAATATTTAAGAGAAATATCAATAATATTAGGTTTTTTAACACTTACGTTAGTAGAAGAGATGGCTGGGCACACGGGGATGGGGGGTTGGTTCCGAGGCAGAGGGCAGATTATTGGCCCTCACCTGTATCACTTGTATCACCTGTATCACTATCCACCACAGAGGCTTGCAGGGCCTCTTTGTCAAACCCCTCAAAGTCCATATCCTCACTATCACTATCACTGACTTGGGCTGGCTGTGGTGGGTGGCGGGTAAAGAACTCGGTAATGTTTTGTTGACTGGATGAACTAGCGCGCACCCTGCCCGCGCCGCTTCCCGCGTAAATGATGGAATGTACCGCGTAACTAATAATTGCCGGTCTGGCCAGGTGCATCGTAAATGACCAACCGCGTAAAGGAAATCCGCGTAAATCGAGACTATACTACTGTATATTAAATCATGCCATAAATATAATTAATTTATAAAACCACAAAATTATAAAATTTAAATACAAATGAGAAACTGTGAAAAATGATCAATACTGTATATATTAAGCCCCATTCCAAGTCATGTCCTTATCGTACAGTACTGTATATAAGGCAGATAAAGACAAAACACTAAATTATATTTGAATTTACAGTTGTACCCCACTTAACGCGGTCAATTGAACCCAGAGGGTCCCGCGTTAAGTGAAATTCGCGTTAAGTGAACAACAGAACATATGGGATTAATTCCAATAGAAACCGGCCCGACCCCCAAACTCCACTTTTTGAAGGCACATACCTATGTTGTAGTAAAAATAACATCTTAATTTTATGATGGTACATGCACACAATTAATACTTAAGAGAAATAGAGAAATACAGTCGCCAAGTTAATGTCCATTCAAATAATGGACTCAACTCCCTCCCCCTCTCACACTACACAGCCGGCTAACAGATGGTCGGTCGGTCCCTCCCTCCCCCCCCACCCCCCACCAACCGTCCCAAGGAGATGTGTGGGATAACCTCAAACTAAAGTTAGGAAAATATAATTGACATTGCTGGATTCCTTGTAAGACCAGGAATATTTTGAATATAAATGTCATATATTTTGCACAAAAGATAACATAGTTACCTAGAGAAAAATTTTTATCTAAAAATTGTAAGTTTAAAGCAAAATATATGATGTTTATATTCAAAATGATCACCAAATTATAAGAATTCCAGCAATGTAAATTATATTCTGACCGGGTAATTTGTATGAATTTTATGAGCTAAAACAAATATCTTCAGTTAATAAAAAAAAAATAATCTTCACGACACTATCTGTCAATCAAAGTACCCCACCTTGCCTCCCCCCCTCTTCCAACCGCGCGGTCAGTCCCAACCCTCCCCCCCACCCCCCACCAATCCTCCCTTCCAGAGTTTTTAACATTTAGTATTAAATAATACCTCAGATTAAAGTTAGGATAATATAATTGACATTGCTGGATTCCTTGTAAGACCAGGAATATTTTGAATATAAATGTCATATATTTTGCACAAAAGATACCATAGTTACCTAGAGAAAAATTTTTATCTAAAAATTGTAAGTTTAAAGCAAAATCTATGATGTTTATATTCAAAATGATCACCAAATTATAAGAATTCCAGCAATGTAAATTATATTCTGACCGGGTAATTTGTATGAATTTTATGAGCTAAAACAAATATCTTCAGTTAATAAAAAAAAAAATAATTCTTCACAGGGTAACAGATGGTCGGTCGGTCCCTCCCTCCCCCCCACCCCCCACCAACCGTCCCAAGGAGATGTGTGGGATAACCACTAAATTTTAATAAATAATACCTCAAACTAAAGTTAGGATAATATAATTGACATTGCTGGATTCCTTGTAAGACCAGGAATATTTTGAATATAAATGTCATATATTTTGCACAAAAGATACCATAGTTACCTAGAGAAAAATTTTTATCTAAAAATTGTAAGTTTAAAGCAAAATATATGATGTTTATATTCAAAATGATCACCAAATTATAAGAATTCCAGCAATGTAAATTATATTCTGGCCTGGTAATTTGTATGAATTTTATGAGCTAAAACAGGCAGTCAGGCAGGGTGGCGGGTGGGGCAAATCTAAAAATAGCGTCCCGGACACTCACCGCGTATATGTGGAAAAAATCCGCGTTAAGTGAAAGTTCAGCTTTGGCAAGGCACCGCGTATATGCGAAAACGCGTTAAGTGAAACCGCGTTAGGCGGGGTAAAACTGTAATTTAAAAAGACCAAGAATTACAGTTTTGATAAGATGAATTGCTTAGTAGTTTTAAGCCCGGCCTTACTAAGATAAAATTAAATTGACAGCTGATCATTTAGGAAAACACTGAAAAATAAATCAGTTATAATACTGTACAGTACTTCAAAATTTGTCTTAATTCAAAATAATTTTGTTTATTTTGCAAACTAAAATAGCATACTATAATATAATTAACTTGCAATATTCCTGATAATTTAAAAAAGCATGGGGCAGGCATATTAATTCTACATTATTGTACTGTATTGCCAATTTTGTCTTTAATTCTTAATATTGTACAGTTGTACCCCACTTAACGCGGTCAATTGAACCCAGAGGGTCCCGCGTTAAGTGAAATCCGCGTTAAGTGAAATCCGCGTTAAGTGAACAACAGAACATATGGGATTAATTCCAATAGAAACCGGCCCGACCCCCAAACTCCACTTTTTGAAGGCACATACCTATGTTGTAGTAAAAAT